TGTTGTCATCAAGCTCATCCTCATCATCCCTGAAACCATCGGACAGATCATTCGTTGACGAGGAAGCCCTGGTCCAAGGAGTGCCTGAAGCAATTGATGCTGCCGAAGTAAGCGTGACACCACTTAAACTCCCTTCTAGTGTGACCCCACGAAGTCGTACCGGCTATGTTAAGCGAACAAAAATCCGAGATAACCGGGGACATCAAAAAGAAAATTGGTCGTAAACTAAGTGACGTGTACGGAGAACCTACGGGCACAGACAAAGAAGATCCATGCTCCTCGTGCTCCGACTGGGTCAGCAATTTACGAGCAGCCTACGTCAAGAGCGTGTCGCAGCTAGAAAGCTACCGCCTCTTAACTCTTTTTCCATCTAACCTCAAAAAGAAAGATATCCTGAAAGCAATTCCTGAAGTAACGAAGCATGCTTTGGACCAATCAAGAAAGCTGAAAAAAAAAAAAATGGGGGTCTGGGCGTCACCTGACCCATACCAAGGACATGCTCTCAATGAAAACGATGTCGCTCTTGCGTTGACTTACTACACATCAGATGCGAAAGACTGCTCAAGACAAAGCCCGAACAAGAAGGATGTCGTAAGGCTTTTTATTGATGGGGAGGAAGTCTTCGTCACGAGGCGATTTATGACGAGATCTATTAGGGAAACCTACAAAGAATTCAAGGCGGCCAATCCCGAGTCAAAAATGGGCCTAACAAAATTTTATTCTCTTCGGCCCAAGTGGGTTAAGAAACACCCTGTACATGAAGAGTGTGTGTATGCTGCACCAACTTCATACTCTGTCTGACATCTCTGTCAAATGCGGCGGGGAAGACCATGACCTTTGAAGACGTCCAGAAAATTTTTCTTTGTGAAAAAACCTTCCCAAAACTGCTTCTTGCTGAGGTGTGAAGCCTGTTCGAACCGGAAGGACATATCCCTCGAGATGCTAGGGATGAGCGCTAAAGATGAACTGGAGTTGGCACTGTGGGAATCTGGTAACGAGTTGGTGAAAAAACATTTGGAGGCCACTGCTTTTCTTAACGAACTCAACAAGTAGACGAAGAAATACATACCCCACTATTATATTCGGCGCGCACAACAGAGAGCAATATGGCTTGAAAAAGCAAATGTGAAGCCACGTGTCGTAGTCCTCCACTTTGATTTCGCCGAAAACTGGAGTATTGTGCTCCAACGTGCAGTGCAGGGATACCACTGGAAAACCAAGATGGTGACAATCTTCACCTGCGTTGCGACGACCACGAAGGGAACACTAAGTTTCGACGTCGTCAGTGACGATACCTGTCATGATTCTGCACACGCGCTCTTTGCGCTCACAATGATTGAAAACAGGCTCGAGGAACTCTTGCCCGTTTTTTTGGAGCTAATCTATGTTTCGGACGGCGCTCCAAGCCATTTCAAAAATCGGCACCAATTACACGAATTTCAGAAAAAGTTTGTTGTCAGCAGGGGGATATACTCGGCGTCAGGGCACGGCAAAAGCGCGTGTGATGGAGTGGGTGGTGTGTTGAAGCATCATGCGTCATTGCATAACTTGAAAACAACTGAGCTGAGCTCCATAACTAACGCGCGTACGTTCGTTGAAGCGATAACGCTTTTCTTCATCGACCAAGAGCAGCTGTCCCGTTATCGGGAGCTTAAAAGGAAGGGGTGGGAGAAGGTAACCCCATCGAAAGGCATCCAATCTTCTCATGTGTGGAGCAAAGCAATGGGGGAAGGGGAAGGTGATGTGGTCCTAGACAGAGTTTACCAAACCCCAGAATAGACAGAGCTAAATGGTGGGACCGTGAAAAGGCCGGACCGTTTCAACAGTGCGTTCATCATTGTCCCCCTGTGAGTGCGCGCTGTATGATCAGACGACGCGCCATAGACTTTGACACTGAACTGACTGCGATTTGGACAAAGCGAAAACTGGCTCAGAATCGCATCAACCTATTGTCTCGAAATGTGCTACGTCGAAAGATGACTATCCCTATCCCAGGTGTTTATCACTGTTTTTGTGTGAGCAGCGCCGTGTAGTATTGAAAAGGTACTGCGTCGTCTAACCGTAAACCAGACGGAATTAGGCGGTGTTCAATTCATTTTAAAGTTTATATTTGTATTAACTTTGAGTGTATTTTATGTTAATTAGGAGTATATAAGACATTTGGTCAACACATTTTGATATATTTTATGAAATGAACATGTTTAGGCTACAACATGAAATATTACTTCCCTTCTCTGGTTACGTGTCGCATCTTGAGTTTAAAACTCCGAACTTTATACGTAATTGTCATATTTTCTTATGTCAAACAGATATGCAGTGCATATACGTATGTGCGATTTAGTATCTGACGCTTAGGAAGTAGTCTATTTTGTGCACATACAGGCTCTTTCGTAAAATAACGAGCATTTCGTGGCATGTAAGGACTAGCATTTCGTGGCGTGTAAGGCTTCAAATGCGTTAGTCATGTGTTTAGGTTTCATTTCTATTTGCAGTGATTCATGCCAGGTTACTTAAGACTTTTCCCTCGTGACTTAAGTTTGTCCGTGAGTTTAGATGTTACGTACTTCTTCGTCAATACATAAGGCGAAGCTCACACACCTTTCAAATCACCCCAGTGCCAAGTAAATAAATACTGTAAGGATAAATATTGTTACTTCACTTGCTTTTACGCTCAGATATTGTGGTAAGTACTAACATTACATAGAAAACTTTACATTGGCCAAAATTCTGCTCAGCAAAGCGCCTGTGCGAAGTCCCGTTCAAAACGCTCATAGCACGAGATTTGAGTCTTAATAGCGGCCATACAAACAATATATTACAATTTCTGTTGGTAGTTCCTGATAGACTACTATATTAACTAACTGTGAATAAAAAATGAAAAAAAAAATAAAAAGTGGGGTTTTTTAGAAAATCGACTCCAAACTTGCTAGTTTTTCGAAATATTTGTTTTTCAGGCACATGTAGCACATTATATACTTGTGGCAAAATATTGAAATTATACTAAAAAAAAGAGCATAATTGGTGCTTTACGGTGATATAAAGATCATAAAAATATGTTGATTAGGTCACACAGCACAGCCTGCTGAACTTCGTCAAATATTGTCACAGAGTGGCGGTTTCACAAATAAAAAAAAAAATCATTAAGAATGTTATGACCTAGACGCTTAATTCGCGTGAAAAAGCCTATGGCTAGAGTGTTCCCAAAAAGTTATATTGATGTAGCGTAAAAAGTAGGGAAAAGGGATGGAGTGAAATATGGCACCTCCGATAGGCTGGAAAAACATCAATTTCCACCAGGGATGGGCAAAATACAGGCAAATATGTATCGAAATACAAATACAAAATACTTCGTCAAAAAATGTATTTAATTACAAATCTAATTACATTTCCAAAAAAGCATTTAAGTACAAGATACAAATACAACCAAATGCATTTGGTCTCCTCTAAATACTTTTTCAAATACATTCCTCAAAATTTGCGTCAGCAACTTCAGGGCACTTGCAGCGGGTTTCTGTGTATCTCATTTTAATTTTGCATTGCACACCAGGAAGTTAGTGTGCGAGGCTCTAGTAACGCAATAGAAATATAACAACAAAAAAATGTAATCAGCTGAGACGTAATAGGTGAAAGAAAAAAGTACAGAGCTTCAAGTAGCTTTTTTTGACGATTGCATTTTGGTATAGATCAACAAAGAACCGAGACGACCAAGAGGCGCAGCACTAGCTAGAGAATTTTTTATTGTTGCAACTCGCACCACTTGCAAAACTCTGGACGACCCGTGCATTTAGAATGTTCCAGGCAAACATATGGATGGAAATCAGGCTGGAAAGCATCACAAGTTGTCACAGGCACTTAGCCAGTCTGCCTGTGAACGTCGATTTCGTCACCATTCTTACCCTGGACTAGCACCGTAATCAGAAATTAACTAAACGCTTGGGCTTGATTGAGAGACACTGCATTCGGTGCAGAACGTAGTTTTCTTCCTGCTCTGGACAGTGACAATAAATTTGAGGGATGTATTTTCGCCCACAAAATTGTATTTAATTACAATTGTATTTAAAATACTCACATTTTAGTATTTAAATACACATGTCAAATACATTACCCAATTTGTAATTAAATACAAATGCAAAATACACAAAGTATTTCAAATACGTATTTCAAGTACTTGTATTTGAAATACTGCCCATCCCCGATTTCCACCTTGACCGCTTCAACGGTCCATAACTTGAGAACAAAAAATCCGATGACATAACCGTTTGCGTCTTCTTTTATTATAGGAAGTGCCCTGAAACATATATTTTTTTCGTCAAAATTAAAAATTCGACTCTTAATCCGTGCCCGAGTTGAGATGGAATCACCCACATAGATCGGCTCGAGATGCATTACGGGCACCGTACTGACTTTTTCCCCCCTTAGGTGGAGGTGGCAGGCTTCCCCTTAGAAGCAATGGCTATATATTGTTCCGCGTCTTTGTTTTTGTTACTTCTTCAGCACTTTTTGTGATCTCTGGCTCGAACGCCAGAGTTCACAGAAGCCGTCGGTAGAGCACTTTAAAAAAGGTCTGTGTCCAATCACACGTATGAAACAATACAAAAAATACAAAATGCAATCAAATTTGAAAAGTGACAGCTGATGCAGCACCTATGGACTACTTCCATTTCATCACCATCATATGCAACCTGAACTAGCATACTTCGTGGCATTCAAATGCTCATACTCGGCATCAACTTTAGGACTACATTGTTGAGTCTAGTTTTCAGTGCAGGGGCCCAGCACCGCTGTACGAACATGAGGCGCCATCTTGCATCTCACTCCCGCATGCATGCACAAGTAGCTTTGATGTAGCTGTAGACACTAAGCTAGCCTTCACAATGTATCACAACAAGTCACCGGAGCTGCGGCATATCGTGCCACAGAGCTGTTTTCGTGACACTTATCACAATGGAGGAATGCCTTGAAGACACCATATTTGTCAAACATATATATGATTTACTTACCCCAGTCCCAGCACCCAAGCAGTCTGCACAAGAGGTATTTGTCTTCAGTGTGCAGGCTGTACCGAAGCAGAAAGAGAAAAACAAGAAAATGTCTGTTAGTTCTATGGATTCATCCTACAAGTCCCTGCAAGGGCTTATGGAAGGACTCGACTTAACCCTGCTTGAGTCAGATATTCCCAAAAGCTATTACAAACACTGCATGTGCAAACTCAAGAAATCCTCGATAAATGATATTCCCAACTTTTTATTGGGCGGCAGCTTCCACCACCTGAACTAGAAAAAGAAAGACGCCCCCCGGTTTGTAGTTCATGATGTCGTCTACCATACATTGTGTAATTTCCAACTCCCTTAGGCATTTTGCACTATTCTTCTAACCTTTTTTTTGTGACTAATTCTTTCGTCCTTATCATCTTTCACTATTGTCAGTTAATAAAATCACTACTAGTTAGGCTGCCCATATGAGGCTACATCAGAGGCAAAGTACAAGAAACAAACTATCATTTCAAAATTAGGTCACATCCATTGTTTTACAGGAAATACAAATAAACACGATAGGTAAGGCAACTTTATTTGAAACTCTAGCTTTGCCCAGCGAAGGCAAGCTAGAAAGGTTTAGGAAGATGTAACAATAAAAATTGTATTCTGTCTCTACACGTGTGCACCACGGCACAAAACTAGCTGTGTGCGAGACTTCGAAAAAGATCCCAAAAATAGATAATGAAACAAGGCCCCCAAGTTAGCCGTGCAGGTGGCTGGCACAGCGAACACCTGGCAATTTTTGCTTCCGGCTTCAGGTTATTTTCATACTAGAAACATCAAAACAAGTTGGCCTGGCTCACTAACATTCGCATGCAATGCTCCACTGTACGTCTCAAGCAGACTTTTACAATCTGAAATGCTGTCGGCTGCAACATGATCTATGTCCACAGTATATAATCTCCAAAAGATGGAAACTGTGCACGCTTTTACAAACATAACACTAGCAAAAACTACAGAGCTGTTTCCACCTCAAAAACCACAAAAAAAAAAAGAAAGGAAAACCTTTTTGATGTAAATTTGTTTTGACAACAAATTTTCTAAGAAATACTTTGTGCAGCAGAAAAATTGCGAGACAACTCATTGTTTGGCTCCGAGAACCATCTGCATGGTTTGCCCCTAAATAGCTGAACTAGGCCTCTTCCTTTTAGCATCCTGCAGTGGCTTTCAATTTCTGCATTCACACAGAAAGCCAGAATTTGCACAAGTTTTAGCTAGACAAGCAATTGTTGTTCATAGGCAGCTTAGGTCACAGAGCATCAAATACCAGATCTTTTGTGGGAACAAGAAATGAGCCACTTGCACCTAGGTACTTTCGACAGAAATGACAAGAACTAGGTGACTGCACAAGACAGAATACCCAGATACTTTCACAGACCTGTATTTCAACTTTATAGAACGCACCTCTTAGAAGTCTGTTTCCGCGTTTCGCGCCATCGGCGTAATTGCCCCGCTAAATTTAGCGGGAAATTGAATTGCGGTTGAGGTCATGTGATGCCAATGTTCCCGCTTAATCTAGCAGAGAAACTGAATTTGTTCATGGGTATTGTGACAAGAAGTCATGTGACATCATTTTCCTCGCTAAATTTAGCGGGGAAACTGAATTAATAATACTAATAATAATCTTTATTGGCTCGGGAGAACTGTGGCACCGCGGAAAGGCGACAGCCCGTCCATACCATGGAGGCCCGCGGTGCCACGTCTAGTGATGATACTGGTGTTGGTTTAGTGATGAATTGGTGTTGAGATCACGTGACGTCAATTTCCCTGTCAAATTGAGTGGGGAAATTGACGTCCCGTGACCTCAACACTCTAATTCAGTTTCCCTCCTAAATTTAGCGGGGGAAATGGCGTCACATGACTCATGTGACGTCATTTCCCCGCTGACCAAAAGTGCGCTCCGCGAACATTTGGTCAGCGGAGCAGAAGACGAGAGGACGAGGAAAGGAGGAGGATACTCTCCACTCCTCCTCTTCAAGAGCTGTGCTCTTGTTTTGCATTACAGAGGTTTGTAAACGTCTCATTTTTTAAAAATATATATATTAATGACTTGCCAGCGGCGGTTTCTTTTTCAATTAACTCTTTACTGACGACTGTGTTATTTATCGTGTAGCATCTAATGACTCTAGCTCTCAAAAACTACAACATGACCAAGATTCCATACTACACTGGTGTGAGCTCTGGTCAAGGGCGCTCAAGATTAAGAAATGCAAAATAATGCGCGTAACACGCAAGGCCAATTTTAATTTTGCCAATTTTACTTTAACACACCCCTAGAACTTGTAGACCAATACAAGTCTCTGGGCATGATTTTACTTTTAAGTGCTGACCTTTCCTGGAAACTTCATATTAACTATGTCACTAACAATGCCAATCGAATGCTTGGCTTTCTCAAACATAACTTTTATCTTGCCCCATCATCATTAAAACTATTCCTTCATAAAACAATAGCTAGGTCCAAGCTAAAGTATGCAGCTTTCATCTGGGATCCCTTTACCAACTACCTCATTGATTCACTTGAAGGTGTTCAGAACAGAGCTGCACGTTTCATACTGGCAAATTATAACCGCACCGCAAGCGAAACATCCATAAAAGATAGTTTGTTACTCCCAAGCCTCGCACACCATCGCAGTTACTCATATTTGTCTTTTATAGCGAAGCTATAAAAGTAGGGTTCCGTGGATTTGTGTTGTGCGTGACCAAAACTCTAAGCTCGCACCGCACCCACGCATCTGCCGGCGTCTGCAGCAGTAACAGTTCTATAGCAATAGTCTAAAACAAATGGCATCTTACACGTGCGTTCGTCAACGTTTTATTTTGGTTATTTACCTTGAATCTCTTATACGAAGAAGGCGTTTGCGTGCGGCGCGTAAAACACCTTTCTCTGCATTCTCCTTGAAGGCGACGGGCGGCACGTGTGTATGCGTACCTTTCGTCACGATGACCACCGATCAAGACAATAGATGTGTTTGTACCTTTGTTCAAAATTCTGTCACGTCTGTGTCGTGTGCTAAACAGCTGTGCTGGTCACCCACCTTCACAAAGTGAAATGGCTCCCAATTTTTTTCGTAAAATCTATCATCATATTTCTCAGCTCAAATCAGAACTAATAATCCCCCCACTTTGTTTCAGTATGCCTCGACCATCGGTGTCCCATTTTGCTACTCTAACGTTTATTACGACTTTCTTTTATTCCCAGAACTTCCAAAGACTGGAGCCACTTACCCGCACTGCTCACATCAATTACTGACCACACACTTTTTTATATTACCAAGTGTTGTATATACTATTCCCTTTGTATTATTATAACTATTGTTCCCACTCCCCTTTGTTAATGCCTTGAGCCCCGAGGGTAAAATAAATAAATCAATAAATATTAATATTTTTATATGATAAATGACGGTGCCGCAGGGATGAAAATACTCCACTGGCCAGTCTCCCCCTTAAAGGGGAAGGGAAACGAAATTCCAGCACTCATTTTTTAGGCTTAATGTGTCGTATGTTGCAGCATAACCTCAAAAATACCAGTCTTTCGTTGAAAGGCACAAGCAAACTTTAAACAATCTTTCAATGTGCACCTGGTGGATGCATGTGGAGCCTATTTTGGGAGGTAATCTAGCAACGTTAAGGAACTTGCTATGGAGTTCATGACGTAGCAAGTTCCATCGGAGCAGCGCTGCTCTCTGGAATTTTAACATTTTCCCTTCTTAGCTTTCCTCAACTCACAAATCGCACATTGTACCAAACAGTCCAAGAAGACGGAAAGGAGGGACTCCCCTCTTTCTCGGACCCTCGTTTGTGTACCCGGACACAGTCATTCTCCCCCTAGAAGAATAGCCCGTTGCTCAAAACTGGGACAAAAGTTGCCTTCCCCACCCCGTTCAGCCGTAAGCTGACAGTGCTGTGGAAGCTACGTGCTCCTTGGGTCAGCCACATGCCCGTCACCCCACGGGTACTTCGAAAGGCTCGGTTGTAACGCGAATGCACCTCACTACTTGAATCCAAATGAAACCGCCGCCGGTCTTTTGAAGTTTGAAAAACTTTTTACTTTTCAGGATTCTAAAACTTTCGAATTCTTGAGGTAATTAAGTTAGAAAATTATTGAATTTCTTAGCGTAGGAAGTTTCGAAAGTTTGAAAAGCTTTGAACTTTTTAGTGCAAGAAATTTGAAGAGCATTGAATTTTTTAGTCTATCAAGTTCGAAAGTTCGACAAGCATCTAATTTTGCAGCGTAATAAGTTTGAAAGTTAAAAAATGATTGAACTTTTCATTGTATTAAGTTTGAATGTTCGAAAAACATTGCATTTCTGAACGTGCCAAATTCGAAAAGCATCAAACTTCTTAGTTTAACAACTTCGAAAATTCGGCTTCCGTTGAATTTCTCGATATGGAAAGTTGGAAATCTTTCGGACCGCTTAATTCGATCATCGAACCTTCGGTTCGAAAAAGTTTGCGGCATCCCAAGTCATGACTCAATCTAAAGAGCTCCAAACATCCTAAGAAAACCCAAAATTACACTCACATGCAGCCGATCTGCATATTAAAAAAATGATCAGAGTTCCAGACAGTTACCGTCAGCGCAGAACTATAGATGGCGTTACCCAAACCTGCTGAATATGGTCGATCGACGGACGGCGGTTGTCAGCCACCCGAGAGCGAAGGGTTTCCGCATGGACGAGCGGGACTGGTCGGCTGCTCATCCATGCGGCAACCCATTGCTTTCCAGTGTATCTGAAAATAACGCACAGGGGCGTGAGCAAAAAACACCATAAAAACGGCAAGTCTATCAACTGGATAGATTTTCTTGGAAGTCAGTTATAGTCAGTTATAGACTTGTCAGCTTGTTGGTGTTTTTTTTGGCACGCCACTGTGCAGTACTTTCAGATCGACCATAAAGGGAAATCTTTTTTAAGGGGTCTATAGACAAATGCAAGCATGAAGCATTATTACTGCCCCATGCGTGCAAGCATGTGCAGCTCGCACGTGAACACAGCTTTGTCAAGCTTGCAACTGCACGCAGTTTCTCAAACAAGCAGAGACATGGCGGCGGCCAGATGCGCTGCTTGCAGTGGTCTATACGGTGTTTTCACAGATTTTGTTGTTAGCCTAGCTGTCAGCGTGGTCGGACTTATAAGCTTCTGAGCACTACGCATTTAAAGGGGCCATGCGAATCCTTGGAATGCTCGCCTTCGGCACACACCGGACGGCTGATAACAACAAAATGGTGGACGAAAGTATGTCAGTGAAAACACCCTATACACTGTATGGCCAGACTTAAACTAATGTCGCTTTATGAAATAACAATGTCCACTGCATTCCCTGTCAACTCTCATTCTCTCTCTGCCTATCTAAATTCTTATTGATCTAACTCCAGGTGTTATTCAACATTTGCTTTTAAATTCAGTCCTATACAGAGTATGATCAGATTTAAACTGATGAAGCATTATGAAATAACAAAATCACTACATCCCTCTCTCTGTCTATGTAAGTCCTTATTTATGCAAAGCTAAACAGAAGCACAGCAACACCCTGAATGCAATCAGTAGCTCAAAAGTTTTCAATCTCGTTGAACAAACATTCCTGTCACAACTGGTCCCCATATGTAAAAAACAAATAGAAAAAAAAAAGAGGTCAAAAGAAGGCCACCGAATTCAAACAATGGAAAAACATCTAGGGTGAGGGCTTATTAACAATCGCGCGATGTATTAATAAAGTAAAAGAATTCGCACTAGCGGAAACATCGCAACGGTCGATCGCTTCTCCGCCTCCCGCTGCCGTCAGCAACACGATGTTACCCAGTTAAATTTCATCATGCGGGGATTTACGCTGTGAACTTCACGCCCAATCATTCTGGAAATGTTACTAGGCACCGTGCTCATTGCACGAGGTTGGGACATTGCACGATGAAATCATCCTGCCCTGCGCGAAGAACTGCGCTCTTTCGCGCTAAAGAACGCGGTCTCGATAAAGACTCACACCTTCTTACTGTTCCTTATTTATTTTTAGATTCCGCGTTTCCTGTACAAAACGAGCAGATAATGAGCTCAGGCTCCGTATCACACCCAAGCTCTCTCAATGCCGATGCCTCAAATCTCGTTTTTAATTTCCCGCACTGCTCACGCATATACCTCAAATATCAATGGTGTTGCCTCATACCGGTCACGTAGTTATAAAAAAGTCAACGCGAACAGCGATCATAGACTTTGATGGGCGTCACGCTGTGGCTATTGTCTTCAGAGAAGGAAACTAAGTTGTTTACCAACCCATATCAGTCGATACTCTCAGCGGACAAAAATGGCCGTACAACAGGAAAAAGAAGACAAATAACAAACTTTCACTCAGTTAAACAAGATTAATAAGATATTTAAACGAGTGTGTGGCGCACAGGTAACAAACAGAACGTACAGTCGAAGGGTTTGGAATGAGCCTTGTTTTTGCTTCGGCGTCGCTCAAACGAGGGTAGGGGGTGGGGGCCGCGGTTCGTCGTCATGCACGAATCGCTCATAAACCATCGAGATTACAATTCCTACCTCTTTCCGGTGAGATCGTAGGCTTTGGCGGCGCTATCGTTGTTGCATTGGAGAGTTCTCCGGTTTCGACGCCATAGACAACGCAGCAGAGAAACACCAACACGATCGCCACGGTTAGTCGCTTCATTTCGGACGTCCAAATGCTAGAACTTCGTAACTGCAAGACCGTAACAGCCGAGGCTGAAAGGCTGAAACCACTGAAACGCGGTAGAACAAGTAGAAGGCGCAACGACCAACCGTAAACACGCCGCGTCCGAAAGCTGCACCGTACGAACAAAGCGTAACAAACAAGCAAGCGAAGCACAGAGCGCACAGAGCTGCCGCCGCCACCTCCAGCTGCTGCTGCGCGACGGACGGATTGCGCAAGCGGTGGATGCGTGCGTTTGTGTCACGTGACCGACTCTGCCCGAATCACGGTCGAGCGGTCGAGCATGTGAGCTTCCTATTGGTTGTTGGTTAATGCACCGACGTGGCGGGAAGTTAAAAACAGGTCTTCGAATGTGAAATGTTGTAACTAGAGGGCACCACTTTACCTCCTAATAATGCTAACGCTCGGAGCGGCCTTGACTGGGACCAACGTTGACTGAGCCGTGGTTGTTGTTGTACGCGTTGGAATGAAATTATGGATAGAAAATAGGGTCAATATTCTATAAGAGCAGTTCGCTGACTGACTTGAACTTCCTAGGGTGCCTTCATGTCCCGAACATGAAGGCATTCTAGAACTTCCTATCATGCGCGCGATGCCTGCATTCAGGGTGTCGAACCGGAACCGAACCGAAAACCGGAACAGAACCGTTATTTTTAGCCGAACCGGAACTGAACCGAACCGAAATCTTCGCCGCCATCTTGGAACTGAACCGGAACCGAACCGAAAAAAAAATATAACGGTAACCGGCTCAAAACGGTTCAAAGTAATTTTTTTTTATTTTTTGTTAGTATCACAAAATAAACATATGGGAATAAAAAATTGGCGGCTGTATTTCTATTGATCAAATTGTCATATACAGAATTGCAACCTATGGTACATTGTGGGTTTTTGTGGCGCTTTTGTATTGGCACTATGATTAACCATGTGTCACGTTCTCACGTGACGTCATTGTGTCAATACATGTTGTCAAGTAATGTCACGTGCCTCGTGACGTCACGTGACTCACTGCAGCAACTCGATTTAATTTGAGGAAGTCCCTAGATGTATTAGCCTTGTTGACAGCGTGACATAACATGACATAACGATTTAGCACCGAGTCACGTGACACCGTGACGTAAGCGATTTTCATAACACCTAGTCGAGTGCACGGGTTCTTGACAGTCAGCATCGTCAAACGTTCGGTACGGCTCATGCCAATTAAATATGATAATAGCTCAACTCTAAAAATATCTGATGCTCAGCCCAAGCTTTTGCTTTCCAGACCGTATACTTCGTCTCACCCTACGATGGACTAAAGGCAGAGGCTACGGACCGCCAGATCCAATCACGAGCCACTTACAAGTTGCGTGGTATTTCGCTTCGATGCGCGTATCGGCACCCGCGTCTCGAATCACTAATGGGGAGGGGCGGACGGTAGTTTGGATTGAACAGCACTGAGTGACTCAACAATTTTACATTGCAAAGAAAGCTATGTCATACAGGCTCTTTGCAGTGTCGAAGCTATAAAAATGATGCAGCGCTTTTGGACTCGGAGGGTCATTCGTCCACCCCTAACCAATGCTAAGCGTGTCATATTTTAGCTTGCAACGTGATTGGACCTTGCGGCCCGCGGCTTTGGCCTTTAGTCCATCGTAGGATGAGACGAAGTATAGCCGCCTTGGGCATGGCTATGATGAACACTGACGTCAGATCACGCGGCCGCTTGTTGAAATTGCGAGTTGAGGAGGGGATCGACAGCTGTCTCTTTCCTTTATTTTTTCTGCATCTGCTATTGCGAGGAGGGGAAAACTAATGCATATTTTCGCAAGCTATAAACACCAGAGGTAACTCCTTAGCAGTATTTGTTGAAAGTACAAAAAATGTTGCACGACCAATTTTACATCATTGAGGCACCCAAACATTTTTTCGTTGCTGCTAAACTGCATCCGAAAGATGTCCCCGAGAATAGAAGTATTGAAATGACTAAATGCAACTTATTAATATGACGTTCCATGGAACTACATGTGTGTACGGAAGGAATACTTAAAAAAAATATTAGTGACATCAGAGGGACAACCGAACAATGGCGGTCGCTGTAAGTCTCAAACGAGCGTCGTTCTCAAGTTATTGCCCAAGTTTTGACCCCCTCTGTATTTTGCTTAAAGAAGCTATAAAAAGATTTCTATACATCACTAAATTCTACTCCGGATCATTTCCTAACGTTAATAACTGATTGCACTTGGCTCTGCTCTTTTTTCTAGGCAATGGCAGTCGCCAAAAAGTTAGAAAAATATGAGCATCGTTCATTCCCTCAACTCGGATCCAGAAGCGGCCACGTGGCCTGGTGCCTGTCTTATGCCGCCAACGATAATCATACCCCCGCGCTGGGGTCGGAAAGGAAGAAAACGCGTGCTGGGAGCTCCAGGCATTGTTAGAGTTCGGCTTGTCTCATTACTGCAGTGGTTGGACACGAGCCACTACCCAAGTGTCCACCAAGGCGTTGCTTGTTACGAGCCGATGTACAGTGCTCACGCAGTTCTCCCCCAATCCATGAGCCGCGCTCGACTGTCGTCAGGCGCATGGGTTTCATTTCATTTCATTTATTATACCCTCAGGGCCCGAAGGCATTACAGAGGGGTAGAGCAACAAGAAGGTTAATGCAAATAACATAATACATATTAGACACACTCAGTAATGAAGTAATTAGTTATTGTACTTTTAAAGAGCTCAGAGTCCGTGATAATGGCGATCGACTGGGGAAGGTGGTTCCACTCCTGGGGTGTACGGGGAACGAAAGATGAATAAAAAGTGGTTGTGATAGAGTTAGGAATGCCCACCTTATGTTGATGATCAAGACGGGAGGAAACATAGACAGGCCGAGCAATTATTTTGTCGCGCAGGAAAGACTTATGGTGATACATTTTATGGAATAGGGAAAGACGAGAAATTTTACGACGTAGTGATCAAGGTGGTAATGAGAGAGTTGTTATCATGGAGGAGACGCTAGCGGTGCGGTGATAGTTTGTGAGGATGAAACGAGCGGATCTGTTCTGAACGGCTTCCAATGTAGATGCGAAAGTGACTAGTCCGGGATCCCAGACAAAATCAGAATCAGAATCAGAATCAGTTTATTTCGTCTATATGTACAGACGACAGGGGCATGGGCAAAAAGCCAACACATGTTGGCTTGACTGGGCCCCACCCCCGTTTTCTTGGCAGAGGCGGATAAGCAAATTGTAGGAAAATGAAAACAAAATCGTTAATTATATAACAGGAAGACAAGTAAAAAAAAACATAACAAAAAAACATGTAGACACTTGTAACTGGGAAGTAGAACACTGATATCATGAGGCACAATGCAAAAATAAGTGAGCTACAGAAACATATTTTTGATGGCACGAGGTGTTAGTGTTTCTATGGTGAAGTTGTTGCTCCTTAGATTGTTCAATAATGATGGGAGGTGGTGTCTCAACATCTTCGTTCCATAGTTTGTTCTGCTGTATGGTACCTTCCAGACATCCTCATTACGAGTAGAATAAAAATTTATACTTCGTGCTAGACCAGCGATTTCTTGAAATAAAGGATTGTTCAGTTTAATGCCCGCTGTGTATCTTAAAATTACAGAAGCTGCATATTCTAACTTGGGACGAATTAAAACTGTGTAAAGAGTTAATTTCAGTGAGACAGGGGCTAATGAAAGATTCATGAACATTCCAACCCGATATCGTTTTATGACCCCTTTAAACTTCACGGGGTGCACAATAAAAGCAGTGAAGGGTTGCTGTTAACAAGTGACAACTAAAATTGTCGAATTACCACACACGAACGGAGGAGTCAATTTCTCAGAAATACTATCAGCCTTTCCCCTCCGGTGAAGAAGGAAGACCAGCGGAGCTGTACTATGGTAGGAATGAAGTAATGGCCGGCCGCAAGTCGGCAAGCCAGAGTGGAAAGGCTGGAAAGGTTGCGCCATCTATGCGCGACGGCGGCAACCAGACAACCAGCAAGTCGGTTGTCTGGTAGCCGTCGTCACTTATAGATGTCGATAGCTGTCAAGAGTTTAGTATCGCCATTTGTTTGCTGACGGACACGATACTGGGGCAACTAGCCCTTAATAGCTCCGCTGTAAAAAGAAGTGTGTGTGTGTGTGGGGGGGGGGGGGGGGGGGGGGAGGAGACGGGGGTTAATTTTAAAAACCTACTGTCTTGTAAAGGTTCCTCTTCCCCGCATCTTTGGCGCAGACCAAAAAGCGTGACCCCGGAAACTACTTTGTGTGCAAAAGTCTCTGACCAAATAGCACGTTTTTGTCATTCCAGACGCTCGCGCCGTTCCTCACGACGCTCTCTTTCACTGAGCTTGAACCTCCTGCAGCATGCATTTTGCACCATCGAATTCGATTTTCTCAGCAAGAAGAAATGACAATGACCACCAGTCTATAGTGTGATGATGTCACGCGCATACCATGTTTAACAGTTCAGCTTTCTGGTGAAATGTGATATTTGCAACACTAGCAATATATGTCCTAATTGTAAAGTTGTGCAATGTTTGTAGCAGTCTCGCGATGATATAGGGCAGCCTAGAGAAATGTTAGCGAGCATGACTATTCAAGCATAGGGTTCTAAATTGAGGGCCAAAACAAGTGCAGGTAAAACCGAATATAACATTAGCCTCCCGAGGCAGTATTTCGCGAAGTTTCGAGCTCATGGAAGCTGATAAAATGTGATTTATACTACGATTTTAAGAATGTTTGTCTGTCCTTCGCCCTATTTATGTAAAATTATAAATTTCGTTGCGTGCATTTTTACGCACATCTTTTTGCAGTAAGGCGTTCTGTAAAGGATTGTTTAGAAAAATAACATTAATTATCTCTCTATTTTTGAACATTTCATGAATTTGACTTCCAATCTATTATGCGAGCACTGAGCCCTCTTTGGCGTACCCTGCAAGCCGATGTTTCACACTGCCACTCAGCAAACAGAAAAACACTTTCACGCAGACTCCACAGCTCGCGTAGTTTCGAGTATCGTCCTTCCGCGTCGGTCTCAAGCGGTTATGGGAACTTTATAAAGTAAAATTTATTGATCGTCATAAAATATATTTAATTACTAACTGAATATTTGACAACATAAATAACTGGCCGACCACCCTAAAGCAATGCCCCCCAAATTGTCTGAAAAATATTCGGCCAATCTTTTCCGGCGTTTTTATCCTCGACAACCACGTTGTAAGTGATATGGGACAGCCTTACACACAT